TCACAGCAGATCTCTCTGATGACATCCTTCTCAAGGCTTCCCCATCTCTTCCCTCTTGACCCTTGTACCTCTCCCATGGGGGTGAGTTATCCATCTGGCTCTTAGACACCTACTTTGACATGTCCACAGGGTTCTCTGTCTTAGAACACTCTTTGGTATCTGATACAGTAAAACGTGCGAAAGCCAGAATCTATGTAAGGCAGAAACCTGTCAGAGAAGGAAAACTCAAATATTTTCCACTGATAGAGAGTGATAGAAAAGTGGTAAGACTGTACCCTGTCAAAGGCTGAAAACGTGTGAGACCTGGAAAAACAAGGCAGTCCTGTGGAGTTCCAGCTCTCACAGGTTTCACCGTACATATATGGCATCCCAGTCAAACCTGTAATTTAGCAGCCAGCACCCAAGTGTTTGACTGAGTGAGCCAGGGCTCCAGTACTTAAGGACTCCAGCTGAGAAGATGGACAAGGAACTTCGGCAGCTGGGCGAGCCCCTGAGGGCAGAGGTTCACTAGACCTTGAGGTATTTATTCAATAAAGGTTGGTTAACTAAAATAAAGATACACATTTTTGTATCTAACTTCTCCTTATTACAAGGAAGGGGATCACCAACGTGAGTCATAGCCACCTCCACAGGCCCCACCTCTCAAGAGTTAGACCATGACTACAGCTCTTGGTAGAACCTGGTAGGACTTGACAAAGACATTTTTCTTCTTTTATAAAATATTACAAAAGTTCATCTCGTTCCCATTTTTAGAGAATTATCCATGTTGCTGTCACAGCTTTTTGTTTTGTTTTCTGTGATGCTAAATACAACCTGCGTTTCCTTGAGGTACCAGGAAGGCTCATCACTGATCACAGAATTCAGTCATGCTTAGGAAGAACTTCATCAGGAAACAATTTGGAAGAAAGGAAGAAGGAAGAAAAAGTTACTCCGCATCATCTATGTTTCAGACACCGGGTATTGCAGTGAGGAGAGAAAGCAGCCACAGGCCCTGTCGCCAAAAATCTATCTCACTAGTAAGGGAATGAAAGACAGCAATGAAAAAGCGCCAAATCGGTGCCTAGAGCACTACCAGAATTACAAGGAGGGAGGGCACATCTGAAGCTAAGGATCAGAGAAAGTGTTTTGACAGGAGGCCTCTGACTCAGGCCTTCTGAAGATAAGGCAGAATTTCAGACGAGGAGATGGTAGAGGAAAGCATTCCTGGGAAAGAGAACGGCTGGTATGGATTCAAGCAGACACCACTGCCCTGCGTGGCTGGGAACTGCCCTGAGCAAGCACGAGTGCAGAGGACCACGGAGGAAGGCAGGCAGGCAGGCAGGCAGATGGCCCGTTGCAGGAGAGACAGCAATCTGGGTCTGCTGCTCACAAGGCTTTTGCTGGAAGCGAGCAGCAAACAGACACTTGGCTGTGCGGTGGTCTGGAGCCTGGCCGTGGGCAGGGGCCCAGGGAGGACTGCAGACCACATAGGCAGATACAGGGACAACTGAACCTG